CTCGGGCTGTTCTTCGAGGTCTCCCACAAAGTCCCGGGGCGTCCTCCAGGCCCGGGGTGCTCAGGGACCAGCGGCTGAGCCGGACCCGTCTCCGCAGCCTCCGGCCTGCAGGGGTCAGCCCACCCCTCCGGGGCCCCGCGGCCCGAGGGCGGCGAGCAGAGCTGCCGGCGCTGCGGGGCGGGGAGCTCCGCGGGTCCCCCGGGGCTGGGAAGCGCGCCGCTGTCCTCGCCTCGGGACACTGGAGCGGACTGGAGCCTGGGCCGGGCCGGGCCGGGCGGGAAATTGGACCGGAGCCCTTGCCGCCCGCCGGGCCAGGGTTGGGAGAGGGCGGTCCAGGCGCCCGCGTCATCCCCCGGCGGCCGATGCGCCTTTGTCTCGGGGGCCTTCCCTGAGCGGGGAGCGCGGCGCCGCCTCCAGTATTGCGGGGCGTCCAGGTGGCGCGGGCGCTGGCCTCACACTTCGCGGCGGAAAACCGGCAACTCGGTCTCAACAGAGACAGACACGGAAGGGCAGCCACTCCGACCTACAGGCTCGTGATCCACGCGGCTCCGGGATCCGGGGCCTGCAGCCACCTCGAGTCGAATCACACCGGAATCTTCGGCGCCTGCATGTGCCCGCCTCGCAGAGAGGCTTGTGGGCTCCCCAGTGTGTTTCCCGCGCGGCCCAGGGCCTAAGAACCGCTCCTACTTTCCTGGTAATGGCGGGGAGGATGGGCAGGGGCTCCGGTCTGTCCGGAACCTAAATCCCGGGGGTTTGCTTTGTTCGCAGAGCGAGGCTGGCTGTCCCCGCTCTGCTCTGGATCTGAGCCATCGACCGCGCCGGGTTTCCGGCTGCATTAGTATCCACAGAACCCGGGCTGCCGGGACCACCTTCGGTCCGCTGCACAGTGGCTTTAAATACCCTCGCTGCGTTTATGCAGATCCGAGTGGAGTAGAACGGAGTGGATGATCAGGGCCAAATACACAATTTATGTGGATGGTATAAGCTTACAAACACACAACAGCAGGATTATTTTCTATCTGAATTATCCAGATAAACCTCCCCTTTTCTTGCTCCGGAAGACCCAGTAGAGACACAGGATGCTTTGTCTGAAAGTCGGTGGAGTAAATTGTAGTTTGAGGCCTTAAACCAGACAAATAGTTGCAAAATAGATGCAATCTTTGCCCAGATCAAGAGCTCAGGCGGTGTGCCCTAAATATTTGAGTTGTGTCTCAACCATGACCTTCTCGTTGGCCAGGAGACCCAAGGACTTGTTTTTCAGCCATTGGGAGGAGATTATAGTGTCTTTCCTTCACTGACAGCTCCCCCAGTTATTGAGTGGGGGGGGGGGCTGCGTAGACAAGACACCACCCAACAAGATCTATTCTCTCTCAGATCTGCAGTATCGCAGAATAAATCGAGGGAATAAATTTAGGGCCAGTTATTCCTGGCCTCCCTAAATTCCTTCCCTCCTTTTTAGCCAGAAATGTCTTCACTGTTAACTTCCTGTATAGATGTGTCCCTGGATTCATTGGGATTCAGATCCTCCTCCCCGCTTTATGCAGATCCAGGCACAGCCACCCAGTCCCTCCTCCAGCTCATGGTTGCCAGACACTATCTTGTTCCCAGCCTTGCCCCCACTCTGTAGGGCCTTTGTGTGAGTACCCTCAAAGCTTGGGCTCATCTTCTTCCTGCCTGAACCCCTCAGCTATACAAGACAGCTGGGATTAGGGGCAAAGGGAGATGAGGTTTGGTTTAAATTTACCAGTTTTACTAGTTGCAGGAGAAAGGAAAGGAAGAGCGACAAAGTTTTCAGGGCAGAAGGCGTGGTTTGCAGGCTGGGCTTGGGTGGGGGCCCCTGCTATTCCGGAGAGGGCCCTAGAGGGTGGAGGGGGAATTTGGAGGAGACTCTATGATTGGAGCCAGGCTGTGAAAAAGAGAGACTCAGGGATCAGAGGCTCAAGGGCAGAGGCATAGGGAGGGCGTTCCACCCACAAGGAAGGGGTGAGGTGGCCAGTGCAAAGGGCTCATGCACTCAGCTGGAACCCAGACTCTGGCCTGGACCTGGGCCTCTCTCTGGCATGGCCCAGAGGAGGTCACTGGCCATCAGAGATGAAGCCTATTTCTCCAGCTTCAAGTGGTCTTTAGTCCCCTGCCCAGTCTTCTTGCCGTGCACAGCATATACTCCCAGAGCAAAGCCATGGAGTCAGGGCCTTGGGGTTGAAGTGTGGACCCACCAAAGCCTGCCCCAGATCCCACTCTCATCATCCCAGCTCCAACCTGTTTGCACCCCTACCCTGGTTTTGCTTTGTGGAGATCCTGCCGCTCAGACTTTCTCTTCCCAGCCCTGCAGGTAGGTAGTCTCAGCCTCCTCCAAGCTGTTCACATTATTTTTACAGCCCACGACTTCTCAGATACTCCTCTCCTCCTCCCCAGTCTATGGTCCCCCAATTTTCTCTCGGCCAGTAATTGCTTAGGACTAGAGATGGCAGCTCATCAACAGATCTTGATTGCCCATATATTTTTGTTGCCCCTGAAACTGCTCTTCCTTTATTATAATAATTATTATTTTTATTATTCACCTGAGCTGGAGAAAATAAAGTGGAAAACAGCTAGGAGGCTGAGGATCCCATTCTTTCTGGGCAGAGGAGACAATGTGGGGGGAATCAGTTTAATTTTTTTTCTAAAAAAAAATCACATCATCATACAGTCATGTTTTAATTAGTATTATTAATATTAATATGATGAAGTAACTCTGTACAAGGACTATATAAAGGGGAAAACGTGCTAAAGACAGCTGGTTGAATAGGAGGGCGCACTACAGAGAGCTGGGGAGGGAGAGAAGGGAGGTTATCTACCCACAGGGACTACACAAGGTACTAGCAAGAGACACAGAGAACAGGACACAGATTGACAGAGAAGTTCACAGAAGTTAAGTTTAAAGCAACAGGAAGAGAATATTGCATATCTTTGTCCCTCCACCCTTTGGGAGTCTTCTGGTCTCTCTTCTTTCTCTGTTAGGCCGTGGGAGTCAGGCTGGAGTGGTGCAGATGAATTCCAGCACCCCCGAGCCCGTGAGGTCACAGGAGGGGCTGCATCAAGAGGTACATGGGTGACCAGGCAAAGGGGAGAGTGCTTCAGACCCAGCACCAGCAGACGGCTGGAATGGCAGTGATTGCTGCAAACTTGCACATCAGTGGAACAAGTTTATGTGGCCAGGGAAGTGTGTCAGGTGCCCAATGGAGGATGGGAGCATGTGATTATATGGCCACTCTACAGGGTTGTGTCTGGGGATATGAAGCTGCCTGCTTGCAAGTACAGTCAGGAGAGTGGGTTGGGCCCACTGGTGTGCTGGGCTCAGCTGTCCCTAGGAGTTTGCCTCTGCACACTCCTGTACAGGGACTTGAAGTTGTGTGCTGGTGGGAGAATGGGGGGGAGGGGGGCTCTATGGATTACCTTTCAAGGGTGTATTAGGGGAGACTCTTCCCAGGCAGGAAGAACTCCCAGCTAGCAGGCCAGTTCCACACTTCCCAAGCTGAGTTGAACTCCCATCAGTCCCTTGCTCTTGGCAAGAGTGGGTGGATGGGAGGATGGGGGACTCTCACCCAGAGGGATAAAAAAAAAAAAAAGGCATATGAGAAGGCAGGCAAGTTCCTTCACTACTTCTCTCTCCTAAGCCAGGCTGGGGGGTAGGGCTGGGGGCGGGCTGGGGCCTGATAAGGGGCTGTGAATAAAAGGCCCTCCGCTGGAGAAGCCACTCTCTGGCCTCCAACAGGTCCTGGAGATGTGCTCCTCCCTCTGCTCTGGTCCTTGTACTCCCGAGGCTTGAAGCCCAGAGGCAGAGGCAGTGGATCCTGAGACAAAGGGCCAAGTTGGGGCGAGGGTAGAGTGGGAGACAGAAAGGAGTTGGGTGGGAGGCTGCAGTGCCTCCTCCTTCATTGTCACCAGCCTGGGAAACCCGGACTGAGCAGGGCCACTGTGGCCAGTAGCCCCTCTAGGGGCGGATTCTCCTCCTGCCTCGTAAATTATGCCAGTCCAGCCTCTAGCCGGCCGTGACCATGAACGCCAGCGGGAAAGGGAGAATTAGCTCCGGCAGCCAGAAACTCTTCCGCCCGCCAATCAATGCCATGCTCGCAGCCCCTTTCACAGCCTCTTGGGTTTCCCGGAGGGCCAGGTGGGGGTCCCTAGAGTGGCTATTGAACCTGAGGCTGCATCTGCGTAGCCCTCAATTCCCGGCTTGCGGTTCTGGTCCGCAGCTACCTAGGGGGCAGGAAGAGAGGATGGCAGCACACACGCAAGCGAAGGGGCTGGCAGAAGGCTTGGGAGAGGGCTGGGGACCAGGAGATGCTTGGACAGCCTGCCCTAGAGAGGACACAAGGCTGTGATCGCCTTGTCTGCAGCCAGGTCTGCCAACCGTTCATGCTTCTGCCTGCTCTGCCATCCAGGCTGGGAGGATCCAGACACTCTGGACATGGGCATTGCTGACCATTCTGTCCTCCCAAACCGCACTTCCTCCTGGATTCCCCCACTTCCTCCTGCCCTCCCAGAGCTACCCTGTCCCCTTCTACTCTCTCTGATGCCCTCAACTCTTGCTCTTCCTGTCAGCGGCTCCTAATCCCAGCAGCGAATTCTGGGAGACTTTGTTCCACTGTCCCCACCCTTGCCTACTCCTGCAGGCAGACTTCAGATCACCGATGGGAAGTGGTGGGAGCAGGTGCCCGGGTCCTCAGCCTCAGTCTGCCTCAAACCAACCCTTCCCCGGTGCCTCAGCTTGCCCTGTCTCTACAGCTGTGGGCTTTCTGTCTCCCTGGCTGGGTTCTTCCCTTCTCCCTGGGGCCTGGCAGGACCTGCTGGGGGTGTATGAGAGGGAAACACGAAGAAAACAGATAAGAGGACGTCCAGAGAGGGCCTGCCAGAGACTTCTGGCATCCTAAGCGGGGAGCCTGTGTCCCAGGCAGCGCCCCCTCTTGCTCTCTGCCAGAGACGGGCTCAGTCTGGGGCTGGCTCCCTTGTCTTGCCCCCTAAAAGAAAGAGAGAGCTTGCTCCCTCAACAGAAGTCTTTTCTTTTTCATTCTCCGGTTCTGAAACCAGATCTTGACCTGCTGGTCACTAAGATTCAAGCGGTCTGAGAGTTCCCTCCGGCGCTGCCGTGTGATGAATTCGTTCACGAGAAATTCGCCCTCCAGCTCCGCCAGCTGCAACTTCGAATAGGGCTTGCGCTTCTTCCGTGAGCGGCTGTGGATCGGGTACCAGGGCGTGCCTGGGTGGAGATGAACCAGGAACGAGGGTTGGCCAGAAGGCCCAGAGGTGACAGGCTCAGAGCCCTTGCTCCTTCCCTAGTCCTCTTCACCTTGGCCTCATGCCCAACCCCAAGCCCTTCCTCTCCTGACTCCTCTCTTCTACGCAGACCCACCCTTACACTCCCATCCTCATCTCCTCTTTCTCTTCACTTCTTTC